TCGTACATATCTTACGAAGGAACAAAAACCCTATATTATCCCTGTATAGTATACTCCCGTATTCCCTACTAACAACCTCAGCTGTGAAACTGTGGTATGGATCCAGGTTTCTCTATCAGCTGCAGGAGAGATCCTTCATTGCAGATAACAACAACATAGAGGGGTTTCCCAATATGTGGGAAAATTTGGGGGGGATCCCCATAACAAGGACTACAGCATTTGGGGACCTACATCTAGGTCCCTCTATTTATGAAAACTACCACCCTAAACCCCTATTCCCTAAACCCTAAGCCCCTTGAAGATAGACTCTCATCTGGTAGGCAGCAGATGTATGCTCTGGCGTCAACAGCGCTAGGTTGTTCTGTTGGGTTTGGCATTTTAGCGTGGGTACTGCCCAGGCTAGACTCTATACTGGGGGTCATATTAAGGGCTATATCATATTTACGTTATAGTTATCATCCAACTGTTACTGAAAGGGGGGGGAGGGGGCAATACCCAAAGCTTAGTATAGGTTGAGGGCGCAACATGAGCAGCGGACAAAACTTGTTGTCTGGCCTATGGGCAAAATTCCCATACTCGTGCTGCAATCTCGTTCCATCTCGAGTTACGTATTCCGGAGCATGTTGGGGGGACCATCTTGTGCCCACTAGGCTTGAGACCAACTGACCAAATCCAGTACTATCTGGTTTTGCAGCACTTGAGTCCAGCCTTGAATCTCGTTTTCCAACGAATTTGCATTCAAACACACAAATGCTGCTCTCGTTATTTGGGGGGACCATCGCCTTTTACAGATTAAGCCCATGATTCCGGACAATTCTGACCGACATTAGACATGGTTCAAGAGACGGAAATGTAGTCCGTCGCTCACATGGACTTTGAGGTATCATGATCTAGGACTCACGGCCTATAAATTCTGGACTATAGGGTTCAGGATTGACATCAAAAAGCACACTCCATGCGAAGGCTTTTCGGTTTGGGGCTATCCCCTTCGACCTGTTTCTGTAGTCAGGCTCAGGGTGACTTGCACTGCCATTCTGGTACTTCACTGGCAGATTAACCTGTGTTGCTTCGTATGCATTTTTTGGTCTTCAGCTTGCTGAAGATTGGACCCTAAACCCTAAAACTCTAAAACTCTAAAGCCCTAACACCCTAAAACCCTAACACCCTAAAACCCTAACACCCTAAAACCCTAAAACCCTAAACCCAATGACCCCCTGTATCCTGGAAGCCGCTTTAGCAGGACACCTCGAGGTTCTCTGATGGCACTGAGAATCCACTCCATGCTTTAGTGATCCGTAACCATGTTCCTGAGTTTAGGGTTTTGGGCTTAGGGTTTAGGGTTTAGGGTTTAGGGCTTCGTGGGGATGATGATAGCTTGGTAATTAGATTGTGTTGCTGGGTCTCCTGCCCCTCCATCGTCATCGTCCGCAGGCATAGTCTCCCCAACCTGTTCTGCAGTTTCATGCGTACTTGTACCCAAAAGCATACAGGGTTCAGCTGAAAGCCGGGGCTTGCTTGGTAACCGGGAAGCTTTTCAGGGGGTTACTACCAGAACCCACACTTGTTGTTACAAGTACTATGATTGTGAATACGATTATTACTCGTATCTTTAACATTGTTATACCAATATAACCCCAACATTGTAGTAGTTTCAATTTTCTTTTCCATTATCCCAATATTATCCCAATATTACCCCAATATTAACCTTTTGTCACTATAATTATTATTACTTCGCCAAGCGGCGTTAGCATCCTGGGCCAGTGTCGTGGACCAGACGCTGCGAAGGGAGCCCGTATCTTCCAGCGCGTGCGCTCGCAGCACGCCCTTTGCACCTGCTGGGGAACATGGGGATATATAGGGATGTAAAGGGGTATAAAGGGACACATAGGGATATCATTATGGGGATATATAGGGATGTATAGGGAGATATAGAGCGACATAGGGTTTAGGGTTTAGGGATATTACCCGTATAGTGCAGCATCAAGAGGAAGACTCCAAGGAGTAAGAACGGCAAAAAGTTCAGCTGCTGCTTCAGTTCAAGAATACAAAGCACTGGAACACTAATCGAAAACCTCAAGTCTCCCTCAAGCCCTAGTTCGTGAACTTCTAACCCCCCTAATATCTCGTAATACGCAACCCTGATCCCCAAACCCTAATCCATAAACCTTGAACCCTAAACCTTGAACCCAAACAGGTGCCTCCGGAGAACAGCAGCCGTGTCTTGTGCCCCTCGGCGCCGAGGGTCGTAGCAGACAGGGCGCGCACTGAGCCCGGAAAGCGCACGGACGCGGGCTCCTTTAAGGGTTTAGGGCTAAGGCTCAAGGGTTCAGGGTGCAGGCTTCAGGGCTAAGGGCTACTTGGAGGCTCATGGGACTTAAAAAACATCCGTGGGGTTCATGGGACATAGTAACTACTTATTGAGTGGGGCTCATAACCCTACGGCTTTCAAAGCTACATATGCTTGAGGTAGATGGGATTAGGGTTTGGGCTTGTTAGCAACTCTTCAGAGATGGGGAAGAGGAGGCTTCAGGGTCCATGTAAGGCGGGGTCGAAGCTTTGGGGTCTTGGCTGAGGGGAAAAGCTTGTCAGACCTCAAGCAAAGAGTGTTGAGTGTTCGTTTTCGTCAGAACCCCATCCAACTGCCAAGAGAGTCCAAAACCCCTGAACTATATGGTATATTCCCTTATCCCCCACATTATACCCTAAACCCTAAACCCTAAACCCTAAAACCCTAGCCCTATACTATACCCCCTGTATTTAAAATTAAGAGATGTACCTTTGCCAGGCTGAGAATTCTGAAAAGTCAAAAGATCTTGCTCCCGGTTTAGGGTAAGGTTTAGAGTTTGGGGTTTGGAGTTTGGGGTTTGGGGTTTAGGGTTTAGGGTTTGGGGTTTAGGGCTTAGGTTTCAGGGTTTAAGCTTTAGGTTTAGGGTTTCCCTAACCCTCACCCCAGGGGCTCCGGGCCAAGAGATGCGGCGAGCTTGTGCCCCGACGGTCTGAACCTCCAGGCTCACCCTAGAAAAATATCCCTACGGTAGGGCCCTGAACCCTAAACCCCTAAACCCCTAAACCCCTAAAACCCCTAAAACCCCTAAACCCTAAGCCCTAAACCCTAAAACCTCTAAACCCCTGAACCCTGAACTGGCTCTTGGGGTTGAATTTACGTGGTTGGAGGTTGGGAAGGAGAAGGTCCTGGGTTTAGGGTTTAGGGTTTAGGGTTATGGGGTTTAGGCGTGTAAGGTTGGGGGTTTCGGGTTTAGGGGTTTAGGCTTCCGTCCTCTAGCTCTTTGGAACCTAGGCCCTGATCCTGCCGTACATATGGTAGTCAATCCAACTACTTCTTGTTAGTGTCGGCATTTTGCATTTGAAATTGCACGGTAAACCCCCAACTCTAAAGGGAAGGAGAACAAGCATGATGGGAATTTGGATGAGCCCCCCAGGATGCATCGATGCGGAAAATCCTGCTTGCGACGACGACATACACGATTTTCTACACAGTTCGGAGAATCACAGAAAACCCAGAGGAATCGTTATGCGAACTATACCCCATGGACAAGAGCAATTCCTAAACAAGCTTGTTCAGCAGTTGTACGCCACAGTCCATAGACACAACTGCCACATGAGCCGCAGTCATTATTTCCCACCCAAATTGATGGACATGGGTTCCTTACTAGGGACTATATCAGGGACTAGACTAAAGAGGGACGCCTATTACCACTCCCTTCCTAAGGCTGAACCCTAAACCCTACTCCCTGAACCCTAACCCCAAACCCTCAAGGGTACCTTAATAAGGCTAAGATAGACAGTAGCTCACATAAGGCTTACATGGCGAGAGATCCTAAACCCTAAACCCTAATACAAACAGTAGCTCGTCACATGGAAGCCTCAAGAGCCGCAGACTCGTGTCTTCAGAGGCTGTAGCCAGAAGGCCGGGTCGATCCTTCTGCCAGGGTTTAAGCGTTTTAGGGTTTAGGGTTTTAAAGGTTTGGAGTTTGGGGGTTTAAGGTTTTAAGTTTAAGGGCTTAGGGTTTTAGGATTTAGGGTTAGGCTTTGGGGTTTGGGTCACAATAATTAACAAAAGTTTTGGCAACCCCAACCACCAAAATTGGGACATACGACAATCCTGCGACCATGTTCTTGCAATAGGCCCTGACGAAGGGCGCTGGGTGACCAAAACCCTCTGATAATTGTGCCATTCCAGAACCTGAAATCAGGACAACTGGGTTACATGCCCTAAAACCCCAAGCCCTAAACCCTGAAACCCTGAAACCCTGAAACCCTGAAACCCTAAACCCCTCAAGCCCTAAACCCTAATGTCAACCAACCTTCGAGGCGAGGTCTGGTGAGGCTGCCATTATTTGCCCCGCTTGTGTCTTGGCTCTAGGGTCTAGAGTCTAGGGCCTGAGTTTAGTGTTAGGGTTCGGTAGATTCTGGTGGATTATATGATGCTGTGCCTTCATGGTCCCGTCTGAAGGGTTTTTTTGCAGAAGAGATGCTTCTGTGTTTCAGCTGTGTAGGGATCTGATCTTGGCTACAAGAATTTGTTCAAGTCTACCAAGACTAGCACTAGCATCCTATCTATTACACAGCCAGGCTCTGCAGATGGAGGCAGAAGCCAGCAGGCTGCATGAATCTCACGGCCGTGCAAGGGCTGTCGCAAGCCTTTCGGCGCAATGGCAGCAGCTGTTGCAGAAGCAGTTTCTGCACCAGATTCTGCCGTTGGCGCTCCAGTAGCCTGTGGAAAGGTGGAATGAATCTCCAGGGACTTCGAGGCCGAGGAGAAAACGAAGGTGTAGGAGGCCCCATCCGCCAAGAGGTCATTAGGTCTCTTGGCTCCTCCGCAGCGTCGACGCCAAATCTCTAACCCTGCAGATGCATCCCACAGCACAAAGTCAGCACTTTGAAATGCTCCAATCCTGGGTTAGCAATGATGCTTGACGAAATATAAATAAAGCTATCAATCACAAAATCACAAACTTTTACAAACATCATCCAGGGTCAAGAGCGGCGGGATGTTGGAAGCAGTAGCTGACTCAGCAGCCTTCATAAGCGACAGGTGCGCAAGATGTCGCAAGCCGCATCCCGGCCGGTGGGCTGCCAGCTGAGTCCAGCCTTCTAAGTCAAGCCGATGGCGCACTACTGTGCCATCGGCCCCCGCAGAAAGAAACTCGCTGCCTTGATCTCCAGAGCTTAGAAGCTGTATGCAGAGCACCTTCCCCTCATGGACCGCTCCTTTGTGATGAGGGCCCTGCAAATCGATGAGATGAAGGCTGCCATGCTCATCACCCACTAGCCAGGCCAAGTCGCCAGCTGACGGGCCACGCAAAGCCTCCTTTCTTTCCTTGCCTTCTCGCAGTGGGAGTCGGAGGAGTTTAGCACAGAGCAGACGCTGGTTCTTGTCCCCCTTCTTTGGAGTTGCCAGCTTTGCCTCGCCGAGCCGAGCAGCAGAGGAGTCCAGCGCATCATCTATCCACAGCTGCACGTTTCCCGCATGATCTGCTAACAGCCCATGCCCACCTTGTGCACAGAATGAAGCGCTGACCCGGCACTGCCGAAAGGCTTCGATCCAGGTATGCCTTGCAGTTCCCACGCAGAGTATCAGAGCGCGACCATCTGCACAACCAGCCCATACATGCGAACAAGCACCAACACCCATGCAAGTAAAATTAACTCCAGGTTCTTCAAAAACCACAGAGGATGTCACCGGATGGCTCTCATCCTCTGCACAGAGCAGCAAGCGATAGATTTTCCCAAAGTTTGTGGCAACCAGGGCCTCCCCGTGAGAGAGAAGGGCAACCTCACGAATCCAGTCCTCACTAGGGTTTGACGACATGGCCTAAACAGTCTAATGAGTGGACAAGGAAACTGACACCGGATATATATAAGGGGGTCTACGGGGATTGTATGTAGGTAGGGTTTGGGGCGCACCTGGGAGCTTTCTCGAACTTTGCAGAATGTGGTCCTAAATACAAGGAGCCCAAAAGGTGACGCATACTTCTGACAAACAGTAGTGATAGTATAGGAGCAATAATAACAGTAGGAAGAATACACATAATGCAGCAGTTTCCATAAAAAGCGCTTGTAGCCTCCAAGCCTACATGGCGGACAACAATTTGACACTGCGGCGAAGGTCCTCTGCCTGTGGTACTTGCCATACTCGGCTGGCAGCGCTCTTGCTGGGAACTCCAGCCTCAGCAGCCATATCGCCGGCTGCGACATCACAGAGTGGCCACAGCTTCACCGCGCCATCCTCACCCCCAGAGATGACTGCAAGGTCCGCCTGGCTGAACGTAGCCTGGGTTGCTTTTAGGGAATAGTTAGATTAAGTTACCATAATGGTTTTACCAGGTAACTATATGGTTTCCCCAGAATAGTAAATTAAACTAAGCTCCTTAACAGCAACCCAGTAGCGGAGGCCCAGCTGAGTGGCTCAACCACTACCTCCAAGCAGCGGACGCCACGTGTCTGATGGCCCTGTAATTCTCGTAGTAGCGCGCCTTGCAAAGAAAAGACCCGTACAATCGAGTCCTCCTGGGTTGTTGTTAAGGAACTTGAATTAAGTTATCATAATTATAATGGGTGTTCATATATATATATATAAGGAATTCAAACGGCTTCCCCACTTAAATTCAGTTACCATAATTGGTGTGTATATATGTATATAGTAATTCATATGGTCTCGCCACTTGATTTAAGTTATCATAATGGATATATATGTAAATATATAGTAACTAATATATGGTTTCCCCAATATAGTAACGTAAACCAAGCTCCTGAACAACAACCTGGCCTCAGATGCAGTGATGATTCCAAGCCCAAGGGTATCTCCAGAGCCAATCCTTGCTGGGGCTTAGCAGGGAAAATTGGGGGTTATATTGGGGTTTTACTGGGGTTACATAAGGATAATGGAAAATCAAATGGAAACTACTATATTATAGGGTTATTTTGGGGTTATATTGGGATACTGGAAAAGAAAATGGAAACTACGATAATATAATAGGGTTATATAGGGATTATATAGGGTTACAATGATGTTACATAGGGATCATGGAAAGGAAAAGGAAGCTGCTATATTTTAATAGGGTGTGTATTGGGATTAGGTTGTTCTTGAAATTATGGGCCCCTTTTGGTTATAGATCTTATCACGGCACGGCACCTAATGTTTAGGGGCACTAAAATGGGACGTTAATTTGGGGAACTACGATATAAGGTTATATATCGGGATTATCTTCCCTTGTTCCCTGCTAACAGCCAGCACCTGAACCCCAAAAGTAGGTTTAAAAATAACCAAAACCCTAAACCTTAAATCCGAAACCCTAAACCCTAAATCCTAAACACTAACCCCTAAATCCTAAACCCTAAACCCTAAATCCGAAACCCTAAACCCTAAATCCTAAACACTAACCCCTAAATC